AGCTTCCAGATCCATATCTCTGCTAATTTGCCTGGAAAAGCAGCAGAAGATGGCCGAAGGACTTGGACCCCTGAACGCATGTGGAAGATCCAGATGGAGTTCCTGGTTCCTGGCTCTGGACCCTCACGGCTATCTGGGGAGTGAACTAGCAGATAGATCTCTTTCTCTTTGTCTCTGCCTTTCTTTGTCAGTCTGCATTTCAAATAAATAAAATAAATCTTAAAAACTTTAGGATTGTCCATTAAATTTTAATTTGATATTAATGAAGAAAAATTTTCTAGCATAAGTATGTCTCAGATATTTCATGGAACACACACCAAAAAAATACTCATTATTTGCTGGAAATTGAAATTTAACTGGGAATTATTTTTGTTTGCTAAATCTGAGAATCCTTGATTGCTTTTTGATGCACTGAACTAGTGAAGGAATAAAACTAGCATGCACTTAGCCCATTGGTCTGTGACATTTCAACAAGTGGGAGCTGCGCAATAGGTATTAATATTACATTTCATAGAAGAGATAATTCTTGGTTCCTTTTGATGGCTTAGGCTGGCTCTCTGAGGCCAGACGGAATGAGAAAGCTTATAAAAATTGCAAGAAAGTAATTTATTTGGTAACTTGTTCTAGAATACAGAAGTCATAAGTTGTAGAATCAGGCTTTTCCAGATCCAAATGGTCTACACAATACAAATTCAATTTGTAAAGGACTTCTCAGGAACATATTTATTATATAAAACAAAGTACCCTTAAAAGCTGGTGGTTTGTTGGCTGCTGCTGTTTTCTATAGTGCACTCTTTCATTGTGGTTAGGCCTATAAAAGGAAACTTAGACTTTTTTTTTCCAGAAAGCATGTCTTTGAAATCAGTTGAATTATTTTAAAGAAATCATGAGATGTTAGTTCCTTTAACTTGGTATTTTATTCAAAGGATCTTTCTGAAATTAAACCAGTGGGAATTTAGCCAAAAATAATGCAATGACAAAATGATGTGTGTCCTGGACTAACCTTGTGTTACAGATCTCATTTCCCCCTATCTTCTGAGCATCTTGTTTCATAAATAATTCTTATTTTCTTTTTAATTTAAGCCTTTTATTTTCCTAGTTATTTTTCTTCCTTTACATATTAACCTGTTAAAGTTTTGTTCAAACAATATGAGAATGATAGCAACAGAAACTTCGATTCATAGTGGTATCTCCTTCAGTAACTGCATTATCTTTTCCTTGGAGCTCAGTTTCTGAAAGATTTTAAGTGGACTAACCTGCTAACCAAGTACATATGTAGCTTCTGTTTCCTATAGTCAGTTACTATTAACTCATGTTCTGTTTCCATTAAATATATATCCTCAAAATTGACTATGAAAATACAATGATGAGCATGTTGAAGTACTCTTGTATCAGTATTTTTAGTTATCTGAATATCTTAAATTTCCTTGGGCTTTATATATTTACTTATGCTGTTATTGCTACGTGATTATTTTCTTCCTGGAATTTCTAGGCCTGGTTCTTAGGAAGATGTTTCAAAAAGTTTGTGGGAAAGTGGAAAGAATGGGGCCATCAAAGAAGGAGGTACCTTTCTCTGAAGGGAGGAGAGAACTTCCACTTTGACTATGACCCTGTCGGAATAAGATCGAAGTCGGCGAACTCAAAAGGCTTCCATAGCCTTGGCAATTCATGACTAGAGCCTAGGGAGATTACTGACACCATAAACAAGAGTGTCAAATTGTTAAGTCAACAACAGGAATCACTGTGTACTTACTTCTCATGTGGGATCTGTCCTTAGTGTGTTGTGCAATGTGAAGTAATGCTATAACTAGTACTGAAACAGTATTTTACACTTTGTGTTTCTGTGTGGGTGCAAACTGATTAAATCTTTACTTAATATATACTAAATCGATCTTCTGTATATAAAGATAATTGAAAATGAATCTTGATGTGAATGGAATGGGAGAGGGAGTGGGAGATAGGAGGGATGCAAGTGGGAGGGAAATTATGGAGAGGGGAAGCCATTGTAATCCATAAGCTGTACTTTGGAAATTTATATTTACTAAATAAAAAATAAATAAAAGTTTGTGGGGAAAGTAGCATTAAAAGCATGGACTTATCTTTGTGAAAATAATGCATTGAAATGTATATTATTAAAACAACTACACATGGATTTAAAATTTTATTTTGTACTACTATAAACTCATACTATTAATAACATTTTACCACAAAGTTTTTGGAGAGCCATGATATACTTCAGTTGCAAATGTGAGTGTTCCTAATTTCAGATAGATTCCATTTAATGGTGTTTTGAAAGCACTCTGTGTGTTCTTATATCTCATCACTTTTTATACCATACTGTGTATTTTTCTCCTACCACAATATTGTAAGCTGTTTGAAATCATAGAAAAGACTGTTTACTCTTTTTCCCCAACACCTAAAACAATGCCAGTGATAAAAATGACTGACTCTAGTGTTTTAGTTAATGGGTGAGAACTGCACAAGCTATTGCTTTATTTTGTGTGTGTCCACGTCTCTCTCTATATATCTATCTATATATTATTTATTTATTTTTTGTGTGTGAAGGCTTCATGGTGTTTTGAGGCTCTTTGACTCAGCAAAGCACATTGTGTTACTATTTTCTTTGTTTCAGTATTGTTTTAGGGAGATATTTTTATCAATGGATTGTTTAGATTTATATCTCTGTTTTCTTTTATGTTGGCTTTTATATTCTTGAAAATTGATTAGGCTTCACATTTTGTGATAGATTGAGATGGTTTTCACAATTCTTAGAGAACTCTCTTTTGTCATGGTTGCAAAACATAGTTTATTTCCTGGATGACTTTTTGGGAAGTAATGGTGAGGTGGAGGTTGTGAATCCATTTTAAGAAGCCTTTTGTCTTTGCCGGAGCCTGAATTTCCCTTTCTCAAGTCTTCTTCAGTTCACTGTCTGGTTTCCAGGACGTTCCTCTCCATTCATTTTTTTGTCCCCTTCTTGCCCAGAGCCTTTCCCCGACTTCCTTTCAGAGTTGCACATGCTAGTTCCTCCCTTCAGTTGGCTCTGATCTACCAATCTTTTTTCCGAAGAGAGAATTTCTCTTTCTAGCTGTGATTTAGATCAGTTGTAAATTTAACTGCTAAATCCTTTCTTCTATTCTCAATGCAGTCCTTTCCCTTAGACAGTCCTTCCTCTACAGTTAGGCTCACAGTGCGAGTATGAAAGATAGCATGGTAGGATTTGGTGTTAATATTCTACTTGCAAGTAATATAAAATCGATGTTCTCTCTTCTTGTTCTGCTGAGGGCATTGACTTTGTGAAGCTTATTTATTTGTACCATTTTTTGGAAGATATGCTGGGACATTCAGACTTACGCAGTTTCCATTACCTTGACTATCCAGGATTCAATTTTAAATATTTAAACATTTAAAAGCAATGTTCCCATTATCTCTTGGTATAATAGTTTATTTACTTTGGAGACAATAGTTTGAGATGTTCTTCCATTAGGTGTTGTGACATTACTTTTTTGCTACCTTAAATTGTCTAATAGCATCAATTTAAGAAACAATGAGGTGCTAAATATTAGGAAATGTAGAGAAAAGATGAGATTTAGCAGGAGTTGCACTCTTGGATACATTCAAATTAGGACATAGATGATAGAAAGCAAATTACCAGGGCCTGTGTTTGATGCAGTGGTTAAGATGCTGGCTAGGATTGCTAGGTACACTCTGGGAAGCAAAAGTGATGACTCAAGTAGTTGGGCCCCTGCCATCCTTGTGGGAGACCTGAATTAAATTCTTGGCTTCTAGCTTGCCTATCTGTTGTGGGCCTTTGGGGTGAACCAGCAGTTGAGAGATCATTCTCTGTCTCTGACTTTTAAATAAATAAAAAAAATTTAAAATAAAAAGAATGTAAATTAGAGCCTTTAGAACTTCATTATAATTTTACAATTTTTTAAAAACATTTTGCGGAACCGGTGCCGTGGCACAGTAGGTTAATCCTCCGCCTGCGGCGCCAGCATCCCATATAGCGGTCGGTTCTAGTCCTGGCTGCCCCTCTTCCAATCCAGCTCTCTGCTATGGCTTTGGAAAGCAGTAGAAGATGGCCCAAGTACTTGGGCTCCTGTAACCACGTGGGAGATCAGGAAGAAGCTCCTGGCTCCTGGCTTCAGATGGGCGCAGCTTTGGCCATTGTGGCCATCTGAGGTGTGAACCAACGGAAGGAAGACCTTTCTCTCTGTCTCGCCCTCTCACTGTCTGTTAACTCTACCTCTCAAATAAATAAACAAAATCTTTAAAAAAATTTTTGTAGCATTTACTTTAAAGTAGACATGATTACATACAAATATATACTATTTTTCTTAAAAACAGGGATATATTACAGAGTGAAGTATTTATGATAATTATCGTAATGAACTTTTGACCAATAGAAAAGTATATGAGAATAAATTTACATCAAGGTTATATTTATGCTAAATCCATGTATGGATGAGATGCTTTTCTCAAGCAGCTTATGCCTAGGTGCAACAGTGACAGCTAAGCAGTTTAAAACAATTTGGAATTTTATTTCCATAATATTGATGTTCTCCCCATACTTGTCTACTTCTCTGAGAATCTGGGCCAAAGTGCTTTTCTTGGGTGCTTTCTGTGCCTAAATATTAAGATTTGAGTAAATAAAAGCTCAAATGCAAAATGACATGTTGCAACTTAGGTTGAGAAGTAATAGTTCATTTTTCTCAAACAAAAAGGCTCCTCTGCTTGTGTGGTGGTGGTGGTTGCAGAGATGGCTTGGGTGAGGCATGGGCAAGTTATTTATTCTTAATTAGTATCAGACATTATAAAATATATTTCTAGTAAGTAAAAACATGGGATGTTTTGACTTTGAGTAATTTGCTGCAAGTTAAGGTTAAATCTCAGGCATATGAAATAACTCCTAGAGCAACCTATAACAGATACACTAAAAACAATATAATTACACTAGAAAGGGAATTTGGTTTGGTTTTCTTCCTATATAATTTTTTCTGTACTGGTAGTTGTTTGGAAAAAGAATTTTGTACAATAAGAAATCATTTGGCCTAAAGAGCCTTGCTTCTTTGATAATTTCTTTCTTAGCATTTATTTCCATTTAGTGTCTTTATTTCTTTCTTCGAAAAACTAATATTCCCTTGTATTTTCTGTATAATATCCACCTGCCCCTGTAATATTATTGTCAGGCTTTTACTTGTTCATTTCTTGGCTCTCCTTCTCCCAGCACACGCTATAACCCCATGCTGTCTCCCTTTATCCAGTTTAGAGACTGGACAGAGGTCTATATTCTGACTCACCAACTTCTGCTTCCTTCACAAATACATTAAGCCTTGTAAAATTGTACGAGCCAGATGCCCTCTTTCCTAGTCTGAAGTTCTTAGAGGTGTCCTCATGTTTATCATGTTTAGAGCTTCCTTGTCCATTGGTATGTGATAGCAGCCAAGTCTCAATGCTCATGTGCTTTCCCATTAGATGTCCTGTTGTACCTATGGAGTGAGGATGGCCAGGTTAAAGTCGATAGTCATTATTGCCTTGGTCACATACATGAGAGTGGTACCAGCAGGTCGAAGTGGGATTTAGGCTCTGCTGTTCCCACAGGAAATAGGGTTACCTGCTGGATTCTATCTGTTATGTGCATGGCTCATCACATTGGCTGTGATTGTGTTTCCAGGGATCTGGGTTGCAATTCTAGCTCTTCAGAGTGCATCTACTTTTTGCCCACAGGATATGAGTTGGCTTTTTATAGATCGTAAACACAAATAGCCTATTGTCTCTGAAAATAGTCCTTGCTTGCCCTGGATGATTTTTTATTTCCTTCTCTCCCTACCACCCAATTTAGGTGCAGAGAGCTTCCTTTATATCCCAGGGACTATCTGATTTGAATGAGTCAGCCAAAATTCTGATAGGAAACATACATACCATGGGTTTTGTGCTTAAAAGCCAGCTGCCTCTCAGCCAGCAAAAGCTTGATGGATCACAGACAATGGTCCTGGGATGATCAGAAGCTTTGGCAGCCAGCAGAGGAAAAACTGTTGCCGTGGGGATGTTTTATTGTTAAACTGTAATAGTCATGCTGGTTCCTAACTGAACTATGCTTGAAGACTGATGCTTTAGTGGGCTTCCTTTAGTTCTTTGCTGGGTATCCATGTGCTGAAACAGTTCTTCAGAGCTCAGTGCAGCCAGTAACATCTGGGATTCTCTGAAGACTTAGCTGGTGGGGCATTGGTAGGGGTATATCATGATGGGAGGTTCCAGGTAATCTTTGTGGAGGATAGGTTTTGGTAAGTGCTGTTTGAAGTTGGTATCATATTAGTGGAACTGAGTGTAGCTTCTCTCTTTTCCACAACTGAAACAAGATTGGAGAATTTAGATGGAAGAAAGTAGTAAAAGTGACTAAAGGGTGAGAACATATGATTCATTAGAAATAAAATGAATTTACTTTTAACTTTCAGAAGAGAAGGATAACAAGTGACTCAATAATTCTTCATGTATTAAAAATGGAATTTTCCTTGATGGTAGGAAATGTCTATGGTCTGTTTCTATGAATGCCAAATAAAATCTGAAATCAAACTTCTGTTTTAATCCTACTTTTCCATGAACTTTTTGAAGCTCCCTTATATATAATACTAAATGGTTGTTAAATCATAGTTGATAAATCAAATAAGAATGCAGGAAATAGGAATATGCTGAAAAGTAAAGCAAGAGTTATGGTTAAATATCTAAATTCTCAAGAACCAGAAGATTTACTGGAATTGAGTCCTGGGAAAAGGGTAGAGGATCATGAACCAATATGGCAAAGGAATCTAGATAGGCAATCTGTTGATCAGATATGAAATGACATCTACAAAAATACCTTGCTTATGGAGGCAAATTGTAGCTTCATCCAGAGAGGCTGTATGTATTTCTGGTTAAAGGAAGATCTTGTTTCTAGGGCATGGTCAGTCCTACAAACAGAATAGGTGAATAAGCTTGGAGAAGTCTTTTGATAACCCATCCAGTTGTGTTGTTGTCACATACGTCAACACTTGTGACTTCAGAGCTTTAAGTTGTAACACCTATGTCACAAATGACCTGTAAAATTCTATTGAGTTCGAATCACTTTCTAGCAGGTTTTACATAACAGGCCTCCAATTAGGAATTTTTGAACAACACAAGGTATGACATTATTAATGTTCCAGTAAGATAAACTCCAGTCTCCATGAACAAAGGAAAACCAACACAGAAGTGTTTCCCACCGCGTGGTTGCAGCTGGCTTTCAAAGGAAGAGAACTTTAGTTGCTTTATTTGAAAGAGATCTTTTCTGAGTGGATGCCATCAAAATGTGGCATTTTATGTTTCTTTTTGGGTCTGGTTAATCTGCCATTATCCTCTGCTTCTGGTTAGAAGTGCTGCAGTAGCCGGCACCGCGGCTCACTAGGCTAATCCTCCGCCTTGCGGCGCCAGCACACCGGGTTCTAGTCCCGGTCGGGGCGCTGGATTCTGTCCTGGTTGCCCCTCTTCCAGGCCAGCTCTCTGCTGTGGCCCGGGAGTGCAGTGGAGGATGGCCCAAGTCCTTGGGCCCTGCACCCCATGGGAGACCAGGATAAGTACCTGGCTCCTGCCATCGGATCAGCGCGGTGCGCCGGCCGCAGTGCGCTGGCCGTGGTGGCCATTGGAGGGTGAACCAACAGCAAAGGAAGACCTTTCTCTCTGTCTCTCTCTCTTACTGTCCACTCTGCCTGTAAAAAAAAAAAAAGGGGGGGGGCTGCAGTAAAGCCTTGTTTTCTGGTTCCAAGGGGATCTTTCTTGACACCTGTTTCTAGCAGAAGATAATAATCCAAGGTCAAGAAAATGAAAATGGGATTAATTTGTATCATAACCAGTTCACTTTAACTTTGCCACTGCCATTGGATTCGGTCACTGCTGCTCTTGCTATGATCTTGCCTGAGTCAACGGAGTTACCTAAGTTTTAATTTTGTAGATCATGTTGCCATCTGAGTGTGAGTCAAATAAATTTCACATAGCAAATATGACATCATTTCTGGGTCTTCAGTAAATATAGGGAAGATATACATGTTATGTTTAACAAATCCAATCCTGTGGCTGTCATCTGAGCCTACACCTTTGTCACTGCAACTACTTTCTATTTCTTTGCCTCAGTGTTTTCCCCAGCTCCATTCTATACAAGGCTGCTAGACTAATTTTTCTACCTATTACACAATTTTGGTTGTGTTTTTTCCCCTGCTGAATACAACCATAGTGATGTCTCATCTCCAGTCAGATCAGAGTAATACTTGCTTTACTGAACTTTAAAAGTCCCAATAAAAGCTAAACTACTCTTTATCCATCATCTCCATTTGCATTTAATGAGTTTGTACCATTTATTAATTTCTGATAATGAATAAAACTCTATAAGTCTATGATAGTAAAGGTGTTTCGTTAATGATTCTTTCCAATGCTGAAGTTATTTAAAACATTTTTTGTTTGCTGGAAATCTTAAAAATTATATCTATTTCTCTTTTTCATTTAAAATTATTTAGATTCACTGAAATACTATAGGGATATAGTCTTATTATAACTAAAAAAACCCACCACTTTCCCTCCATTCTTTTCAGATATGTTCTGGATTTTGAGAGAGGAAAGTATAGCTAAGATTTTTTTAACTCAGGTTTTTTGAGGTACAGTTGGCATGTGGCAAAATTCACTTTGTAGTGCACAGTTCCATGAGCTTCAGAAATTCACACAGTTGTATATCTAACACTGCAATAAAAATATAAAACAGTTCCATCACTTCCCGAGATTTCTCTGTGTCCCTTGAGGTTAACCCTTCTACCTGACCTCTGACAACCACTGCATTGTTTGCTGTCCCTGTAGTTTTGCCTTTTTCAGAGTGTCACATAAATGACATGTGCAATATGTAGCTCTTTCAGTGTGGCTTCTTCAACTTAGTGAAATGTATTTGGGATTCATCTAGTTGTGTGCCAATAGTTTGTTTATTTTTATTGCTGAGTAGTATTCTTATATATGGATATATCACAGCTTGTTTATCTATTGAAGGACATGTGAGTTATTTCCTATTTTTGGTTAGGATGAAAAAAGCTGCTACAAATCATCATGTGCAGGTGCTTATGGAAACATAAGTTTTCACTTCACTTGGGTAAATATCCAGGAGTGGAATTGCTGGGTTTTGTGGTAGCATATAATTAACTTTGTAAGAAATTGCCAAACTGTTTTCCAAAGTAGCTGTACCTTTTTGCATTCCCAGCAGAAACATATGAATTTCAACTGTTCTGTATCCTCATATGCACTTTGTAGTGAGAGTTTAAAAAGATGTTTTTAATTTTAACTACTCTTAGAGGAACTTAGTGGTATCTCATTATGATTTTAACTTGTATTTCCCTGATGAATAATTATACTGAATATATTTTATTTGTTTCTTTGCTATTCAGAAATTTCTTTGGTAAAATGTCTGTTAAAATCTTTTGCCCATTTTTAAGAGGATATATTGATTTGGTAGGCTTTCATAACAAGGTATCATAACTGGATGGCTTAAACAACAGAAATTTATATTTTTACTGTGCTTGATGATAGAAGTCCAACATCAAGGTGTCTAAAGGTTTATTTTATTCTGGGGCTCTTCTCCTTGGCTTGTAAATGGTTGACTCTAGTGGTATCCTTATATAGTCTGTCTTCTGTGCATGCATACTTTTCATGTCTCTTTGTCCAGATTTCTTCCCCTTTTAAGTAGACCAGACAGGATTAGAGTCCATCCATAAGGCCTCATTTTAACTCAATCATCTCATTAAAGGACTTGTCTCCAAATTCAGTTATATTCTGATGTATTGGGGTTAAGACTTAAACATATTTTGGGGGAGCAAAATTCAACCCTAATAGGAGATTGTTTTATTATGTTTAAATTTTGAATATTTTGAATTTTGAATTTATTATGTCTGAATCTTTTCTTGTATTATGAATATGAGTCTTTTGTCATATATGTGATTTTTAAATATTTCTCCCAGCTTGTGGCTTATCTTCTCATTTTTTAACAGTGTCTTTTGAAGAAAAAAGTTTTAAATTTTAGTGAAATCTAATTTATCAGTTTTTCTTCCATGGGTTGAGTCTTTTTTTTTTTTTGGGTTATATGTAAGATGTTATTGCTTAACTTAAGGCTGATGAGATATTTCTCATGTTTTAACAGTTTTATCTTAAAAATAAAAATCTTTTAAACTTTAAATGTGTTAATGGTTTTAGGTCTAGGATCTATTCTGAGTTAATTTTTGTATAAGATATATGTTGAAGTTCATTTTTTTCTCTGTGTACGGACATAAAATTATCCAAATGGTATTTGTTGAAAAGGCTATTTCATTTGCCTTTTTGAAAAAAATTAGTCATACATATGTTAGGTTTTTCATAGACTATGTCTTCTATTACATTTTTGTCTTTTGCCAGTACAACATTGTCTTGATTATTTTGGCTTTCTGGTAAGTCTTTTTCAAAATTGTTTGGCATTATTTTGCCTTTCTACACAAAATACAAAATCATCTTGTTGATGTGTAAAGAAATAATGCTAGGATTTTGATTGTAATTATGTTGTATCTATAGATTATTTGGGGGAGAACGAATATCTTAAAAATATGAGTTCTTCCAATTCACTGATGTGGTATAACTGCATTTATTTAACTCTTCTTTGGCTTTTTTCATCATTGTCTTTTAGTGTTGGGCATATAGATGCTATATGTGTTTTGTTAGATTTTTCAATTTTTGATGCTATAAAATGCTACTACTTTTAAAATAAATACTTATTTGTTTTCATTATTTGGGGATATGGAGGGAGGGCAGGGGGAGAGAGACAAAACAGAGAGATAAATCTTTCATCTGCTGGTTCACTCCTGAAGTAGTTTCATCATTCAGGGTGGGGCAAGGCAGAAGCCAGGAGCTAGGAACAAAATTCCATATGGTGGCAGCGGCCCAAGCACTTGGACCATCATCTGCTCCCTTCCCAGACACATTAGCAGGAATGTTGGGTTGGAAGCAGAGCAGCCAAGAATCAAAATGTTAATCCAGTAAGGGATGGCACAGTCTCAAGAAGCAGTTTAATCCATTGTGCCACAAGACCAGTCCTTTTACATTCTTTTTGAGAAACCTGCAGGAAATGGCGTGTATCAGTTCTTTTCCCTTTCTTTTGATGAAAACTGTTGCTTTTTTTTTTTTCATTTTCAATTAAGTTTATATACAGAAGATCAACTTGGTATATGCTAAATAAAAGTTTCAACAGACTGCACCCACACAGACACACAAAGTATAGAGTACTATGTGAGTAGTAGTTTTACCATTAATTCGCATAGTACAACACATTAAGGACAGAGATCCTACATGGGGAGCAAGTGCACAGTGACTCCTGTTGATGACTTAACAATTGACACTCTTATTTATGATGTCAGTAATCACCCGAGGCTCTTGTCATGAGCTGCCAAAGCTATGGAGGCCTCTTGAGTTCACAAACTCTGATCTTATTTAGACAAGGCCATAGTCAAAGTGGAAGTTCTTTCCTCCCTTCAGAGAAAGGTACCTCCTTCTTTGATGGCCCGTTCTTTCCACTGGGATCTCACTCACAGACATCTTTCAATTAGGTCATTTTTTTTGGCCATAGTGTCTTGGCATTCCATGCCTGAGAAGCTCTCTTGGGCTTTTTAGCTAGATCCGAATGCCTTAAGGGCTGATTCTGAGGCCAGAGTGCTGTTTAGGACATCTGCCATTCTATGAGTCTGCTGTGTATCCTGCTTCCCATGTTGGATTGTCCTCTCCTTTTTAGTTCTATCAGTTAGTATTAGCAGACACTAGTCTTGTTTATGTGATCCCTTTGACTCTTTTTTTTTTTTTATTGTGTGACAGGCAGAGTGGACAGTGAGAGAGAGAGACAGAGAGAAAGGTCTTCCTTTGCCGTTGGTTCACCCTCCAATGGCCGCCGTGGCCAGCGTGCTGCGGCCGGTGCACCGTGCTGATCCCATGGCAGGAACCAGGTACTTCTCCTGGTCTCCCA